TTGTGCACCCCCCCCCCCCTCCCCCAACTGGGCACCATCACTAGCAAAGTCCTTTCCTCTGGTAGAGAACAGAGCAACCAGCAGAGAGCCAAAGCCCTCCACCAGGTGCTGGACAGACCAATGTCCTTACAGACACTGCCCTGGTCTCTAAACCACAGCATGCTGCTGTAATGTCTCTCCAGTCCAGAAGATGCTAATTAAGCAGTATTACCTGGATGTAATGTCCTGCTTTACCTCTGAAGCACTAATGGTGCTCAGCAAGTAGTCCATCTTCAGGCGCTGCCCCCACAATAAATCAATAGCTATTAAGGATAATTTATCCCATTTTTAACAGTCACACAGTTTTCCCCATTCTGAATCTTAATTTTAAATTACCATCCTGCAGTGGGTCTTATTAAACCATAGTGCTTTTGAACTCAGAAGAGAAAAAAGGTGGGTCCTCTGATGCCTTTCACAGCCACTGACATCCAGATGTGCTTCACCTGTTGTGTGCACATCTGCAAATGTCCACCAACAACCAGGCTTGGAGAGACCAGAGCATCAGCACCAAGGCCCCTTGTGCCGTGCCAGGCTGTATTTGATCACAGGGGAGCAGTAAAGTGAAAAGGGCAGCAGGATCAGAGAGCAGAGCTCTAAGAGCCCTCCATCTGCCTCCTCCACCCCTCATGCCAACACAGAGGAGGCTCAGCAGGAGGAGATTGGGGTTAACAGCACAGCTATAGACATGTGGAGTCTCAAGACACTGCTCTGTCACAGACTGTGTGCGCTGTTGTAGCAAATCCCGTAACTGCTCCCTCCCCGTCTGCCCCTGGGGACAGTGGCACGTCTGTGGTCTCCAGTGGACAAACACAGTTGAAAGACTGTGAGGTGTTACAGCACTATTGTGGTCACACTGGCATTTTCAACAGGAGGCAAGTGAAAGTGGGAATTGTCAAAGGACAGAAAAAGCAGACTCCCAAGGGATGCCCCTGTTACCACCAAGGAGAACATGAGGTGTCTTTGGACCAGCCCCTGACAACCCTTTCTCAGTGTCTCAGACATATAGATCACTGTACACTGGGAAGGAAAACCCACACAGGTAAAATCCACTTGCTCCCAGAAACAAATATAGAAACGAGAATAAATAGACTTTGAAATGTCTCTAGTACCTTTACCTGCAGAGGGTTCTTTGTGCTTATGGCAATGACGTGATACTTGTAGTAACACAGCTCACAGCTCCAGCAGCCTCTCTCGCTAATCCATTTGATCAGACATGGCTGGTGCGTGCACTTCACCGATCCGTCGCATCGACACGGGCTCAGCAACTCCCCCTGAAAGAGAGAGACAGCATCAGTGAGGCTCCTCTCCTCCCACAGGCATGGTACGGCATGGCATGGGAGAAGCTCCATCATCCACCCATTTGCTCTTTGTTCCTTTTTACCTGGTTTTGCTTAGGTAATGGTGCTGCCTCCATCCGTTTTCCCTCTAATAATTCTTGGCTGATGTGAACAGAGTTTGACAGGGCTGTAATGGTCTCAAATACTTGGGTCTTACATTTCCTTGTGGGAAGAGACAGGTGGGTAGATAAGAGATGCCTAATATCACCGCTGAAGGAAAAACTAGATGAGCACAACTCTTACTAGACACCAGAGGACCCACACTAGACCACAACCAGTGGACACAGCTCTGTTGGCAACCAGATGCCACTATTTCACTGCTCAAGTTTCTGTCTCTCCGCTACCTATTTTAAAAAGCGAGGTTGGCAGTGGGGATAACTGTGAGACAGCCTCTGCTGCAGACTGGCGTCTGCTCAGCCCAGGATGGCTTCCTCGAGCCCAGCCAGGCAGGAGGGGGAGCACAGACGTGGTGGCCCTTGGACTTTCTGCCGGTGCCAGCCGTGGAGGTGCCGCTCCTCCCCAGGAGCTGGACTGAGCCCCATGCCATGCGGTACGTCCCAGGACTTGCCAGGCTGTGGGCGTTTGCAGCGCCAGACACAGGGTTCTCCTTCCCAGTGCTCCTGGACTGGGAGGGACAAACCCGACTGTGGGTGGCACAGTGTGTGCTTTGCGTCCAGGTCTCTGTGTACTCATAGCCCAGCAGGGAAAAGGTCCTCAAATTTCATCCCCCTGTCCATTTCTCCAGACAGCCTGTCCTGAAAGTGAGTGATGCTGATGCATAGCCTGTAGGGCTGGCTATTTCCACCCTAGAAGCAAGTAAGATGGAGAACAAATTGTGTTCTGGCTTGTGACACATAGACATTTATGAGTGGTGGCCGAAACACTGAATGTCCTGGCTCGCTCCCTTGTTTCTGGTGTAGCTTTAAACAGGGTATCCAGGAAAACCCAATATTATTCTGATTCATCTGCTATCATCCTGTTCACCATGGGACTAAATTCCTCTCCACACACACAAGCTCAGGAGCTCATTTTACAGTCATTTGCCATTGCTGATTTAGGGAAGAACAGAGCCATTACATTTTACTCCCCACCTCTTAGTGTTTAAAAGCCACAGTATAGACCCCAACAGTGTATTTAGCTGTGCTCCAAGATTTAAAAGCTTTTAAAGGCAGAATGAGAATATCTACAGGACAGGGAAGGCTGGGATCATATTTTCAGTGTTGGGGAAAGGATATTTCCTCTTCCACCCCTAGATCAGCCCCATCATTACCACTGATGGAGCACCAGGATAACAGACCCTGGCATCTGAGGCTGCTGGGTACAGTAAAAGACATACATCCCAGCTGCTTTGGGTTAGGAAACCAGATCCTGCTCTTGCTAACCCTGGTGGGAAACGGTCTTAGCTTTCAGGGTACCACATCGGGTCTCAGGACCTGAAGAACCGAGCACCATGCTGGGCAAGAGTGATACTTCTTTTATGAAACCTAATGCAAACATGTTAATCATTTCATTTGCTTCAGCTAGGTGACCTAAAAATGTCATCTTCCATAAAATTTTAGCAAAACTGTAAACAACTGTTTACATTACAAAACCAGGCTCAGCTCTACCTGTCACCGGTTTTCATTACACACTGGAGGGGATGCGAAGGGAGAGGGGGAGCCAGGAAGGTTGTAGGATCCGTGAACCTTCTTCACCGGGAAAGGTGCGACAGGACAAGAAGAAGGGAAGCAGGGAAGGATTAGATGGGAGGAAGGTGAATGTGGGAAGGAGCACTGACATTTGGCATTCAAAGTCCCCGTGTCAGGTGTAGCTTGAGGGGCTCAGCATCAGCTGTGCATGTTTGTGCCCCTTGCTGGGACTGGAGTGGGAAAGCGCAAGTGTGATGTGGAATCTGCATGAGCATGTACTGCCAGCCAGGATGCAAAAGGGGAGGAATCGGGACTTAGCACAGCTCCTCTGCTCCCCCGTTCGCCAAACCTCTTCCACACCAAGTGCTAGCCTGGTACAAGGACCGCTGCTCTGTGCCTCTGGTCTGCCCTCCTCATCTCAGTCCCTGTTGCTTTATTTTCTCAACAGCTTCACTCAGCACACAAGTGTGATCCCAGCACCAAACAGGTAACGTAGAAACCTCCCAGCTCTACAGCATCCCTGCCTTTCTATCTCGCTGCACACCAGAGTCCCCTGCAGGGCTCAAAATGGCGAGTGAGGGACCTGGGTTTTGTCTAATGAGCCGTTGGAGGCACTGGTGACGAGGGATCAGGAACGGGGCAGAACAGAGCAGGAACAAAGAGCAACAGCCTCCGGGCAAAGGCAGAGGAGAAAAGCCGTAGCTGCAGCCTGCACTCACGTTGGCTTCTTGGGCTCTGTAACGAACAAGTCTACGAAACGTGAGCTCGTCTCTTCAGAGCCATGAGATGCTCATAGATGTCCTACACCGCCGTGGGGACCCAGTCCCCCTTCCCTAATTGGGAGGCTCCAACCCAGACATTCCTGCCAGCTCCTGCGAGAGCTCATGACTCAACTGTGGAGATGAATCCCTCAGTTTCTTAATTTTTGCAAATCCAGCAAAAAACTGATTTATCACATTTTCTCCAGCCGTGTGAAATATTATATCCTCGCATGTGGCGCACAGCTATTTTTGCATACTGTGAAGCCCAATTCTGTCCGCAGCAGGCATTCGTAAAACACTGCCACATGCACAAACGCGCACACGCACTCCTGTACCAGCAGAAAAATAAACACCAGGCACATATTAAAGGAGTAAATCCTTTGCACAACAAAGGAGAATGAGTCTCATTGCTGGCTCTACAGCGAGCTCAGGAACAGTCCATCGGCTGTGATACACATGAACGATTTGCCATGCAGACACCTCTGCTAAAACCTACATGCACACAAAAGCAAGCCCAAAATGAGGTGCAGATCACAGCAATTAGAGATGGAAATTAAATCCCGACGCCCATTTCTGTAGGTTTGTAGAAGATGGCTCTGCACAACGTATTCTTCAGTGCTTCAAACAACAGCGTTCCCACCAATTCCCTTTGGGGATTGCTTTCCAAAGACCTTTTCAAGGGTCTACTTCCCAACACTTATTTTTGCAATTTTCCTTTGTAGAGTTACATGCCATCACTCGGATCAGCCTACGCAGCATTTCTGCTTTGTCTAGTGGAGAAATGCTAGTGGAGAAATGCTCCCCAGCTGCAAGCTTCATCCTCAGGTGGCGCAGTACCATCTTCTTCCCCTGAAACAACCAAGTAGGCTTTGGAGTCAGAGTACTTGCCTTTTCTTTTGTTGTCATCCAAGTCTAAATTAGGGTTCATGTCAAAGGTGGGAAACCAGAGTTAACAAAAAGGGAAGGGTGCTCTGGCTTCAGCCATAACCCTCTAAACATACTCTTCCCTGCTTCTGGGAAGAGTAATATATTAAGCAATTACATATAATATTCTTCACTATTTTTGGCTGTGATGGGAGCTTGTCTCTAGAAGCAGCAAGGGCAAGACCAGGCTGAACTGGGTTTACCCTGAGGAGGACGATACTGCTGGAGACGAACTGGGAGTGCGGGTCTGTTCCAGCTCTGTCCTCTCCTTATGAATTCCCAATCTGTGCCTGTTGCGATATGTCAAAGTGGTTAATGATTATCTGGGCCCTGGTATTTTAAGCCTACTGGAAGGAGTTCTGAGAAAGGATGGAAAAAAAATTATTGCCAGCGTGCGCTTCTGATGCTCAGTATATCTAGGGAGAAAATAACGGTCAGGAGCAGCGTCACCCCTGTTGCGTGCTGGTGTCAGTATTTCACTCGGCCAGTCTATCTGTCATTTATCAGTGCTGGGAGCCCATTCACACATTGCTACCAAAGCTGCAGCTGCTCACCCACCAGCAGGCAGTCATGGGATGTGTTTCCCGGGCCTGTTCTTTTAACTATAAATTAAGTACAGTAAATTTTCCCACCCGGTCTCCTTTGAACACGGCAGGGCTGGGGACGATAGTGTCATTGGGACAGGATGTGGTCTTCTGGGCTCTCCCAGCTCCAGCTGTGCTGATCTACGACTGCTGCCTGGGCTGCTCCTCAGCACCACCTCAGCTGGAAAGAGCCATATTAGCAACATCCTGCTACCACAACTATTAAAGCAAACATTTTGAAAACCACTGCAAGCTGTACAGCAAACTGGGATGGCTGATGGTGATCTTAATACCTGTGCTTTTTCCTCAACCGTGTGTTTTCCCTGCTCAGGTGTACAAAGTAGTATCAGTCATCAGCATCACCCACAGGATCAGTGCCCTGGACCAGAGTGGGGCAGTAAGAAGATGCTGAAGGAGTTGTCCACATCACAAGGGCTACCATCTCTCTCTGGGTATGCACATGCAGCTGCCACTGCTCACAGGAGTAGCGGCACGCACGGATCTGACTGCTAGTATTTATCTGAGTTTGTCTTGTTTGGAAAAGGAAACCAGGAATATTTAATTTCAGGTCTTCAACTAAGTCTCCTAAATACACTTAAATCTTCACATTGAATTTAAACGCAATGGGAAGTTTTATTATGGCAAATAAATGCCAAATGATTTCTATGTTAGGAACATAATTACAGAGGAATTAAGTCCGATGGCAAAGAGAAACCCATTGTTACAGAGCTGGTAAACTTTGATAAACATGTACTAACGATCACTTTGTCTTCACACACACTTACAAGAACTGCCCCTCCATACTTTTAAACTAAACACACACGTTACTATCAGCATCTCAAATGCTTCCCATGAGTACCCTCCCATGTGCCAGCACTGTGCCAGTCAGCAACAGACAATAAGGGATGTAAGTATCTATGAATACATATATATGTATATTGCATTAAATTCTCCAGCACTGGGGGAGATCGATGCAGAGCGTGGACCCAGAGAGGAGTGGGCTTACATCTCCTGTGGTGTCGGGACAGCAGCGCACA